TCGGGTTCCAGATGCTTCTTACGCAGGAGGATCGTAACATTTCCCAAGCAAAGGTGGGTCCATGGAGTCCCTTCCAGGTTCTGGTCTCCTCCTGGTCCCAATCAGAACCTTGGACCATCTGCTTCTGACAGATCCGAATGCTGAACACAGCGCTGTGGTTTCCCACTCAGTTTGGAAGCGCTGAACACAGCACGGAACACAAACAGACCCGTTGATTCGTTCGGATCCCTCACGTCACTGAATTATTCACTCCACAATCCTCAAATTCCATTCAGCAAAGGAGAACGATGCGTTCTGGATGCAGACATCAGAACATTACCTTCCAGATGATCACAGTTGCTTCAGAACCAAGAGGGGAGTTCTACAAACGTTCTTCACTCCTTCACACACTGCTCCAGAGTCAGAGCTTCACACCTGGCAGATGTTGTAGTAGACGGTGTGGGCCTGCCTCTGGCCCGTCGGGTCACCCGTCGTCTCAAACAAGTTTTCCTTGTGTGAGTGGATCTCTGTCATTGGAACGTTGATAATGTGGGAGTTGCTGTGAGGATTCTGGGTCCCGTAGGATGGAATCGTCTGCAGAGGAAACAATGACAAGTACTTCCTGTTAACTCGACTCACTCCCAATACCCACAATGAATCCTACCAAGTGCACATGGAGGCGGTGCACACAAGTCTTCGAGTGCATACTAAACAAGCGTGTAAATAAGGGCAGAAATGAGACAGTGAGCATTACGTTATCAACCAGAACATCCTAACTGGGGATGCCGGTCACCACTTGCTGCTTCAAATGATTGTATGAAAACCGAATGACATTAATAAAGGACTGCCTCAGCACTACCAACTGTAGACCACTGGCCCATCATTGTGAATAGTATTCTCCAGTGGGATGGGCCTCGTTGTGCACCAGGGCCAGTGTTTCAAAGGTAAGCCACGAGGACTTTGTACAGCAAATTGGATCAAATCTTGAAAATGGGGTTTTCAAAAGAAAAAACGGATTACATCATGGGATTAGATCATGTAATCCAACTTTGGTTTTGATTCGGATCAAACCTTTGGTTTGGGTTTTTTAGAACTTTTCTGTAGGATTTGGCTCACTTTGATCCAAAAAATCTGGACTGATCCCATCAGAAGGGTGGATTCAGCGTGGATTTCATGACCAAAATGTAACGAAAACTAAAAAAATGTATCAAACACTATATTTGGATCATCTTACAAGATATCTCATTTATTCATAAGGTTTTAATTGTAGTTGTTCTTCCGTCAGGCTACAGTGATTAGGTCGGCTTTAATGGATACAGGCCTACAGCAAAGTAGAAAGAGTTTGGCCTCGTAAAATAACCCCCAACAGCTGTCACAAAAGACCAAAAACAATCAATCATTCTGTCACTAATTATATATATATATATATATATATATATATATATATATATATATATTCATCACAATCGAAAATACTGTATTGTTGTTTTTAGAATATTTATCAGTGATGCATGCGATGATTACAGAATAACCAGAAAAATGCCAACCAAGGCCAGACTTAAGCTCCGCCTCCTAAAGGCTACACTCAGACAAGCTGGTCTCTCCACATCAGATGAGGTGGTCTGACGTTATTGTGGAGTATTTGACATCAAGTCTTTTTTATTCAACACATCTATATTTGAAACTTGTTATGAATGTCCTCAGCCTACAGCGTTTGTGTTGCAGGTCTCAGATGAGCGGACTGCTGAAGAGGATGGGGTGGGTTTTTCTTGTTTTTAGGTATTTTTAAATGTGTGTGTTTTCATTTCAAATGAAGATAAACGTGTATTGACCCACACTGGCTGTTCTACTTGTTGCTCTTTACGTATCTACAGTTCCTCTTTGTGATTTCCTGTCCTGTTTGAGCTGGTTATCCAGATTTGCTGATCCTGAAAAGTTCCTATCCAGATCAGATTGATCCAATCTGATCTTGCTTAGAAAAACTGGCTCAAAAGTAAGCTGGATTACGTGATCACAGATCACAAAAAAAAGGGATTACGAAATCCAGATCAATTTTGTCCGGATTAAACCCTTTTAAAAACCGGGCCCAGGAGGTTGGGACATTGGTACACCTTCATTTATACGGCCATGCTTGGATGACTACCTCCTACATCTGTAACTTAATCTCACAGAGAAGTGTAACTTCTCACAGTCTGCGTACAACCATCAGCTGTTACTGTGTTCTGTTTCCTCACACCGAACCGGGCTGGAGGGCTTTGGTTCCCTCTGCTCCTTCTGCATGGAGCAGGCTGCAGGAACACTGCAGACTAACCCAGTTTATCTCCTTGAATACGTTTAAAACCAGACTGAGAACCTCGAGATGCTTCTCTGTGTTGTAACCGTCTTCTGTAATCTAGTACACAACAGGGCTGTGTAACTGTAACTTAGTAACTGTAACTGTTGCTGCCTCTTGGCCAAGACTCCCTTGGAAAGGAGGTTTTTAATGCCAACGGGACCTTAACGGTTAAATAAAGAATAAATAAATAATAATTAAAAAATGAAATAATATTAAAACAAGTGACTAAACTACTGGCATGGCATGTCTGGAAGCACACACCAGCAAGCTCATCAGACAACAATATTTACAGACATGTAGAGCTTCTTCCCAGCAGAGAAACATTAGATTGTGATCATTTATGTACAAAATATTAAAATATTTAATATTTCAATAATTATACTTGGAAATACAGATTTTCAGAAAGAGCACTTGAGCCATTGCTCTGCCTTATTCCCAAAATTCCCATGCAGCATGATGTTTGGAAGTCAAAGTCTATTGGTGTGGGAGACAAAAAAAAAGTCACGATCTGAGGCACCCCGAAAAAGGATTCATTATAATATGAGCCAAATAGGGAGGCGTGCAATCACGTGACACGTTTTTCTGGTGTCAAATCTACTTTAGAAGTTTTAATGATCTTGAAGAGCACCCGACATACTACAGAAATTATAGAAATATCTAGTCCCACTGATGCACTCACTCCCACCTGTTTGAATCTAGTGGTGTGGGCTTCAGCAAAGTTCTATCAATGGTGCAAAAGGGGCAGAGCCAAGGTCTGCACTTGAATATCCATGAACCCTACGCATTCACACAGTGTGAGTATAGGGACTGGGTCTTCCTGATGCCCTGATCTTTACTTCCTGTTGCCTTGAACCTGACTTCCTGTGTGCTTGGTCCTCACTTCCTGTTGCCTTGAACCTGACTTCCTGTGTGCTTGCTCCTCACTTCCTGTTGGCCTGATCTTTACTTCCTGTTGCCTTGAACCTGACTTCCTGTGTGCTTGGTCCTCACTTCCTGTTGGCCTGATCCTCACTTCCTGTGTGCTTGGTCCTCACTTCCTATTTGCCTGATCTTCACTTCCTGTTGCCTTGATCTATACTTCCTGATGCCCTGGTCCTCACTTCCTGTTGCCCTGTATCCTTTGACTCCAGCAGATGTTTTACCTTTCCAACACCACCCAGAGGGAAATCTTTCCGACAAAGATGGGCGATGATTCCTGCTGCCAGGGCGTCCCCGAGAACGTTTATCATGGTCCGAAACCTGTCACTGCAGAAACACAAGGGCGGCATCAGACTCATACCAGGAAACAGTATCTCTTGATCAGCACTTTGACTTACAGGATCCAATCAATGGCCACGATGAGTGTGATGTCATCAGGTGGCAGGCCCACAGAGGTGAGGACGATCACCATGGTAACCAGGCCAGCCTGAGGGATTCCTGCTGCTCCGATGCTGGCGGCAGTTGCTGTGATGCTTAAAAAAAAGATTGATTTGACAGAAGGAAAATAATCTGACCTGAAACCAAGCAAATCTAAAAAAAAAAGAAAGAAAATGCTCGATGTTTACGGGTGCTATTATTAGGTTTTGTAAAGTTTTGTAAGTGGTCACAATTAATAAATTGTCAACAAAAAATGAAAGCTATTTAACAAAATGTTATATTCCATAAAAATATGAATTATTAATATCACTGAACATTTAATGTCTGATTGACTCTGGAAACAAGAACTTGCAGGATGACATTGATCCAGATAACAATTTTTACACTAGGGTACATAATCATTGTGAATACTATCCTGAAGACCAGTTTGAACATAATGCCACCATAAAAGGTAAATTATCTGTTATACATTTCAATTGTACAAGTCTAAATTCAAATTTTGTGAAGACTATACAGTGTTTGAAGCAATCAAATCATCAATTTACTGTAATAGCAATCTCTGAGACATGGCTCCAGGACGGGAGGATATCTTCAAATTGAAGGATATAATATGTTTTCCACAAGTAGAGATTGCCAAACGGTGGGGGTGTGGCTTTGTATATTGATAAAAACTTCCAAAGTAGATTGGTGGGTGATATGACATTAGTTATGGATAACACTATGGAGTGTGTATCTGTGGAAATACAGATATAAAAGTCTAAGAATGTGTTAGTCAGTTGTATGTATAGGAAACCAGGATCTTGTGTTGAAATGTTTAAAGAAAAAATAGTTGATATGTGTGATGATATAATCAACAGAAAAATGTGTTTTGTCTGTGGGGATTTTAACACTGACCTGTTGAATCCTCAAATGCAAAATGCAAATACAGAGTTTATTAATTCCATGTTTAGTCTGGGACTGTATCCACTAATAACTCGGCCAACTCGAACTACAAGAACTAGTGCGACACTGATCGACAATATTTTTACAAATATTCATGAAAATGATGTGTTAAGTGGTCTTATAATTACCGATATGTCTGATCATTTACCGGTGTTCACAGTCGTACACAGGACAACGGTAACCACTCAAAGTGAATCTGTGGTTGTTACAAGGCTAAAAAATCAAGAAGCAGCTAATTCATTTAAAACTGACTTAATGGAACAAAATTGGGAGGAGGTTTATGTGGAAGATGTAAATAGGCTTTTGGAAAATTTTTAAATATTGTAACTTCTCTTTATGAAAAAAATTGCCAATTGCTTTATAAGGTGGATAAGAATAAGTATGCTGAAGAGCCGTGGATAACTACGGGGATTCAGAAGGCTTGCAGGAAAAAAAATAAGCTGTATAAAGACTTTTTAAAGAAAAGAACGGAGGAAGCAGAACAGAATTACAAGATATACAAGAATAAATTAATAAGTTTTATGAGATCTAGTAAGATAAATTACTATAGTAACTTATTGGAAGGAAATAAATCTGATATTATAAGCATGTGGCGCATATTAAATGATGTAATAAAAAAGGGCAGTGGTGCCAATAGGCTTCCAAATATTTTTCTAATAAAAGACAACCAAGAAATGTATCAGTCTAAAGAAATAGCAAATTAATTCAATAAGTATTTTACCGAAATTGGGCCAAATTTGGCAAAGGATATATCAAATACTAAATAAGATGCTGATGCTGTGAGTAAAATAACAAATTTAGACAAAACCATATTTATTCAAGGCACAAATGAAAATGAAGTTATAACAGTTGTTAAAACATTTAAAAGTAAAAAGTCAGCAGATTTACATGGATTTGATATGTCGGTTGTAAAAGAAATCATTGAGATTATAGCCAAACCACTTACACATATTTGTAACCAGTCTCTCCAATCAGGAAGATTTCCTGAAAGGATGAAGGTTGCAAAAGTCATTCCTATCTATAAGGCTGGAGACAAACATGACTTTTCTAATTATAGACCAATTTCTATTTTATCTCAGTTCTCCAAAATACTAGAAACAATATTTCATAAAAGATTGTATGACTTTATTGAGCATCATGATATTCTTTCTGAACAGCAATGTGGTTTTAGACGTGATCGGACAACTTCTCTGGCAATTGTTGATCTAGTGGAGAAAATATCTGATGCAACTGACAACAAACAACAGGCTGCTGGGGTGTTCTTAGACCTGACCAAAGCTTTTGATACTGTTAATCATGACTTATTAATAAAAAACATTGTGTAGATATGGCATCAGGGGTGTAGCCTATTACTGGATTAAGAGTTATTTAGAGAACAGACTCCAATACATCCACATTAACAACACTGATTCACAGCTACTGACAGTGACCACCGGTATCCCACAGGGGTCAGTGTTGGGTCCCTTGTTGTTTATTCTTTATATTAATGACATATGTTTAGTTTCTAAAACATTGCATTTCATACTATTTGCAGATGATACTAATGTTCTAAGTTTTGGGAAAGATTTAATAACATTAAATCTTTAGAAAGCCTAAAGTAAGAACTAAAATGAAACAACGTTGTGTTTCTTGTGTTGGGGTTGATGTGTGGAATAAATTAGACCAGGAGCAAAAAGATTGTTCAACAATGGTGAAGTTTAAGGGTTTGTTTAAATCAAATGTGATTAAATATTGTGAATCAAGTCAATGAAAAAATGCTTAAAATATTAAAGGTCATTATTGTTTTTATAAAGCAAGAATGGGAATTTGAATATATTCCCATACATTTCAAATATGATGCATAAAGTATTTGCTATTCTAAAATTTTGCTTAAGTTCAAAGGGTTTGGGGGGTTGGGCTTATAAGGTCATGCTTCTGCCTGCACCCATTCTTTGTTGTGTAAGTTGTGTGTTTGGGGCGAACTCTGGTAACCGGTGATGGTTGTACCCCATGTGCAGCAGTACCGGGACCAGAGTGAATAGGGTGTGTATGGGGAGCATGAGTGGGTGTCCGGCGTGCATTTTTGTAAGTCTTGGGTTGTATGTGCATGTGTGAGCATGAGGGAGGGAGTGTGTGACTGTGTTTGTGTATGACTGTATATGTCAGGTGGGGCCATTGACTCCTCCCCTCTCCTGGAACTTCTTTTGATGATATAGATCTCCGTCCCCCCTCCCCCTGCCACACCTGGTGTGGGGTGTGGTGCCTTGGTCTGCCTGAGTGTTCGTGGCTCCCCGGTCAGGGGGTTTAAGATTTTTGGCATCTGCCTGATCAATCCCGGTGGCTGCCTGGTGGGGTCTGGGTCCCTGGCGATCCTCTGTGCCTCTCGAGGGGGGCGGGGGCTTTTCTGGTTGCAGTCTCTTTGGAGTTCCTGTGTTCTGGGGCAGCTCCTGGATCTCTGGGACTTGGAGCTCCCCCCGTCTCCTACACATCTTTAGGGGGCAGATCTGTGGTCCCTCACACTCTCTGTTGGACGCTCCTATAGAGAAACCTTACATAAACAAGCGCGTGTACACACACAGGTGCTCACATGGTGCTCTCATAAGTATGGGCTTGGGCACGTTAAACACTGGTCTTAAGGCTGTGGTGGGCACTAAATGCACTGTGATTTATTATCGTGATTCTTCAGTTAAACAAGGTTGATTTTATATTTCTTCATCAAGTTGACGCAGTGATAGCTAGATCTTGTTGTATTGTTGTTGTGTCCCTTTTTTTTGTTCTTTTGCTTTTTTTCTTTTCTCTTTCTGCAGGTCTAGAAGCAGACTCTTGTTCATTATTGATTATTTTTGTGGAACCCCCCCCCTTTTGTCTCTTCCTTTCTCTTTCACCTCTGTCTCCGTGTCTGGTCGGAATTACAAAGCATTCAACAACAATAACAATAAAGTTTTAAGTATCAGGCGTGACATTAAAAGCAGACGCTTTGATGCTCCACCTGAGAGTAAATCTGTAAGGCTTGTCACCAGCATTCAGACATCAGTTCTGTTTGCTTCACAGCCAGACAGGACACGGTAAAAAAAAAAGAAAAAAAAAAAGTAAAGCAACTGGAAGGCAGTACGTTTCTTTATTCTGAAAATCTCGGGAGCTTCGCTCCGTTTCCGCGTCAGATTTCCTGTCTTTCCTTCCCCAAAAATGTCGAACTTGACCCGTTTCAGAGGCGTCGCGCGTAGAAAATAGAACCGGCGCGTAAAGGCCGCGACATGCTGCTCCTGAGACGCGGCCGACTCGCGCTGCTGACGGCTCCGGTGGAAAAGGTTCTGCTGACCACAGCGGTTCTATCAGCAGCTATGACGTGCTGCTGCAGTAACGTGCTGCTGACGGCTCTGGTGGAAAGGAGGGGTAAGGACCTGGCTTACGCACATGCTGGACATGGAGAGCACCTGCAGTGCTGCTGCCGAGAAGGATAAAGTTATGAAATCCTGCAGCATTATCACTTGTACCCCCCATGGGGGCGCAGCTGTCAGCGCTGTTGCCTCGCTGCAGCGAGAAGGTTACTGACTCGAACCTCGGCTGCGACCTTTCTGCGTGGAGTTGCGTGTTCTCCCCATGCATGTGTGGGTTTCGTCCGGGTGCTCCAGTTTCCCCCACAGATCCCAGCACGCCCTGTAGGTTAACGGTTGCACGTCGCTTTGGATAAAAACGCCTGTCTAATAAATAAATAATCATAAACATAAACAAACTGCCCAGAACCCTTTAGAACCCTTTAGCTGCCAGGCGTTGGGTAGAGGGCCTGAGCCTGGAAGGACGAGACCAGCTGCAGATGGTGAGATGGGAATTTATTTATATAATTTTTTATTATGTCATTTTATCTTTAACTATTTAAAATAAAATAAAAAGAGACTAAATGAAACGACGGATCGAGTTTTGCTGTAGACATGATTTACAACTTTGTAATTTTTGAATAAACTGACTTATGAAAACAAACTTCTTTAACGTGGAATAAAGGAGGAAAGAACACAACACGTAAGAGCAGTCGACAGGAAGTACTGAGTGTCTTTCTTTGGCGTTGTGCACCTTTTCAGGTGTTTGTTTTGTTAAGCTCATATTAAATGTAGTTTTAGTCACGGACCTCTCACGCATCCCTGGAATATTTTAATCTTAATTTGTGTTTATTCTCTTATTCTTGTTATGATCTCATGTATTTATTTGAATAGTTTTTGTGATTTTTCATCGTCAGGCGCTTCTTCTTCTGTGTTACTGGCGCACGACAGCGCAGGCCGCTCACACTGGAGCGCTGGGTTGTGAGAACATGGCCTGAGCTGTGCCCAGAGACAAACAGCTTGAGATGGAGCTGAATGCGTCAGAAAAAAGTTGCACACTTAACATTTAGCTTCACGTCACAGAAAAACCTAAAAGGTACAGAAGACAGAAAACCTGATCTCCCAAACAAGAGCTAAAGCCTGAAGCTTTGAACTGCTGTAGAAACGACCCCCTGCTGATTGCACCGCGGTGCTGCTTTAAATGTTTAAGTAAGTAAAAGTTTATTTATAGAGCGCCTTTCACATGATAAAAATCAGGGCAAATACCTCTAACCAATAAAAACATCAGAAAAACAAAAGCAGTGATAAACGTAGAAAATAAAATCATGAGTATAAACAAAGTGAAGGTGTGAACCCGAACAAAGCCATCATTTAGAACATTTAGGGAGGGAACGCCTGGATGAAGAGGTGAGTTTTTAGATGATTTTTAAAGACCTCTACAGTGTTAGAGAGACGGAGATTTGAAGGTAGACTGTTCCAAAGTCTGGGGGCAATAGTCTGAAAGGCCCCGCCCCCTTTGGTTTTCAGTCTTGTTCCAGGAACAATAAAACAAGAAAACAATATTCGTTTGGAACGGGTCTGCTTTCACAAAGGTTTACCTGATGGTGACCAGCTGTCCAAAGTCCAGCTCATAGTTATTAACCTGAGCAATGAAGATGGCCGCCACAGCCTCGTACAGTGCCGTGCCGTCCATGTTGATTGTGGCACCAACAGGTAGAACGAAGCGAGCGATCTGCCGATCAACATGGCAGTTCTCCAACAAACACTTCATGGTGATGGGCAGGGTGGCAGAGCTGAAAGACACAACAGTCTACAGAGATCTACAAGGACCGTGTATGGAAAACATCGGACCAGGACCTACCTAGAGGAGGTGGCCAGAGCGATGACCATGGCCTGCAGCAGCCCCCGGATGTACCTGAAAGGGTTCTTCCTTGTGAGGATGAGGTAGAACAACGGCAGGAGGATGAGGCCATGGACAAAGAGGCCAGCTAGGACGGTGACGCCATACCAACCCAGCTTTTTCCCAAGAGTGCTTGGATCCTGCATGTCTAAGATCTTTCCCGCGACCAAGAAGATGATGCCAAAGGGGAAGTACCTGAGTGGACAACAAACAGCATCTTCCTTATTCATGTTGTAATGGTCATGAAGGCCTTGCTGCAGAAACGATCATCTACACACGAATGCCAGCACAGTCCGGGGGATCCTAGTGATCGGGTGGTTTTGATTATTTACATCTTAAAGCGAACCACGCAACCTGGACAACGTCACTGTTACGGCCACAGCCCGGACCTCTCTCCAGTTCCAATCCTGAAGCCTGTTTGGTCCAGAGCGGCCCGGCGTCCTGCTCTTAATGAGGAGGCTTGTGCTCCGCGGTCGGTAAGCACCTCAGTGGCCGTCAGTACTTTAACAACAATAGCAATAATAATGATAATACTTTAGGAGAAGGGTTGAAACGTTTTGAGAGTAATGTTGAGTTAACTCTGAAGGATCTTTAGATGATCTCTGTTTTGCTTTAGAACATTGCTAACTGCATTTACGTTCTGGGAGACTCCTAATTAGTGGTAAAGCTTGGTTTTGGTTTAGGTTGGTGTTAATGTCGGCCCCTCCTTGGTGGAAAAGTAAATTAAATTGGTAAATTAGTGGCTAGCTTGGTTTATCATCATCATCTTTATTTATACAGCATTTTCCAGCTGCCAGGAGGCGACCCAAAGTGCTGAACACATAAAAAACCATCGCTGACCCATTCAATGGTTGAAAAACAAACAAAGGCAGGAGGTAAGAGCAAAGAATGACAGCATTTTACTCTTGGACACGTCATTTGGAATTCTAGGATGTCCAAGGAAGATCCCACCTTTCTCTTCTCTGATTGGTTAGAAAGGCTCTACTACGATTGGCTACTTCATTTAACAGGAAACTGGCTGTCCTTCTGCCACCAGCAGAAGCTCTTTGGAGAGTTTAGTAAAGAAAATGTGAACTTAGCGCTAGAATTAACATTCTGTCCTGTTTGCTAAATATTTTATGTTTCATAAAAAAAACAGAAAAACGTAAAATGTGAATTTTAAGTCTTGTTGCATTTATCAAACTGTTGGACTTAGTTTATATCTCTTGGCTCTGAAGCATTCGAGTACACAGGATAAACATGTGTGCCTACCTGGGTATGACATGTAGTAAAACTGCCCTATTCTGCCCAGCTGTGTGCATCAGGTCTGTTTCTTCTCTCAAATAATGAAAACTGGTGAAAAATAGGTTTAAATCATAATCAGCTTTAACTAAATTTTTGATTAAATGATATGCATTCAGCCTGATAATGAGAGATGTGCTCTAACTTGTAAACAGCCTTAACCTATTAAAGCAGGATAGCCTAATAAAGAAGTAATAAGATAACCCCAATAGAGCCAACAGATATAAAGTCAGTCTGCAGGGTGATAAAATGCTGCAAGATTTATTACAAGTTCACATTTGATGTTTTTCAGGTTCTTTTATGAAAGAAACTGATCCTGGTTTGTTGCTGAACAGGAAAGGATGTTTATTATAGCGATGAGTTCACAATTTCTTCAAACAACTCCTCAAGATCTGGCTGTAAACATAAAACCTGAAGCGAGGGAAAACGGTTTCCTCTTACACGTAGTAGATCCCTTCCAGCCAATCAGAGGCGAGAAAGGCGGGACCTTCCTTAGACATCCTAGAATTCCAAATGACGCCTCCTGGACAGTGGCGGCTCATCCATAGGGGCGAGAGGGCACTGCCCCACCAGCCTCACAGGAAGAAGAAGAAGAAGAAGAAGAAGAAGAAGAAGAAGAAGAAGAAGAAGAAGAAGAAGAAGAAGAAGAAGAAGAAGAAGGAGAAGAAGAAGAAGAAGGAGAAGAAGAAGAAGAAGAAGAAGAAGAAGAAGGAGAAGAAGAAGAAGAAGAAGAAGAAGAAGGAGAAGAAGAAGAAGAAGAAGAAGAAGAAGAAGAAGAAGAAGAAGAAGTAGAAGAAGAGTAAATCTGAGAGGCTTGTCACCAGCATTCAGACATTAATTCTGTTTGCTTCACAGCCAGACAGGACACGGGGAAAGAAGAAGAAGAAGAACAGGAATCACAAAATATATCTGGTTTTAAAAATGTTATTGACACTTTAACTACCTTTGACAGTATTTTTATGTATATTTTTGTGCCTGTGTAACAGCAATAACTTCTGACTTTAACGTGTTACACCTGCTTGAATTTAGCTGTTGGTTTATAAAACCAGGAATGTGAATCAAGATTACACATTTTTATAGATTTCTTATTATTTTTTCAAATAAACATGTTTTTCAAAAATCTATCTGCTGTAGCGTGGCCGAGGCCGTGTATTTCATCAAATGGGCCAAAAGTTCTCTTTATGCAACAACACCGGGTGTGTGAACCTGACACCAAAGCCCCCTTCAGACAGGCCATGAAAAACGGAAATGTTCCGGAATCTGTCCGTAAGACCTTTGTGTCTGAATACAAACATCCGGATAACGTGTTCCGGCATTTATCCGGACGGAGCCCCTAGTAACAGGTCCGGACTTGTTACGGACAGGGTGGCTGCTTCAGACTGGTGAGGTAAAGTTCCGGACAAGGGGGAGGGGGAGGAGGAGGAGGAGGGGACCGGGGGACGCTGTGTGCACCTAGATAGCCCGCTGCTGTAGCATGCGGCGAACCACGGCAGCTCGCCTCCTACGGTACCGTCTAGACGCGCAACGGAGCGCTTCACACCGCTTCAGTGATTCCTTTAACCATTGAGCTTCATCATCCAGGTCTCTTATGCGTCTTCGTGTGCGCAGAATTATGCTTAAGCGCCTCGTGATTTTTATCTTGAGAGGCGCTATAGAAATGATATTTTCTTCTTCTTCTACTTAACATAAGTCCGATTCCCCCCCCACCCCACCCCCCGCCGCCGTCAGACATCTGGAACTTTTCCCTGCTGTGTGCACGCAGCCGAAAGGACAAGTTCGGGTACAAAAGTGGTGTGTCTGAAAACACAGTTCCGGTTAAAAACCGGATTGAATTGTCCGCAAATGTTGCAGAATGTCTGTCTGAAAAGGGCTCAGGTGTGTGAACCTGACACCGGGTGTGCGAACCTGACCCCAGGTGGTGTCCATCATGAACATCTCCTAACTTGTCCTGTGGCCTTATCTACAAGACTTATCTGACCCATCTAATAAGAGATATCTTATATTTGTCTCTCAACACGATGCTTTACAGCTGAAGAACAATTACATTAAACGATGAATGTTTCATCTACAGTGAATGTGACAATGTCCTGTCTGCTTTACATTGATGAATGAATGAATCCACATGAATATCTATTCTTAAAACGATTAATGTCAGACCTTAAATACACCCAATGAGTCTACTTGTTGAATTTAATAAGGATTTATTTACCATCATATTCACAGATTAATGTTGCCGTCGTCGTCGTCTTCCTCCGCTTATCCGGGTCCGGAACGCGGGGGCAGCATCCCAACTAGGGAGCTCCAGACCGTCCTCTCCCCGGCCTTGTCCACCAGCTCCTCCGGCAGGACCCCAAGGCGTTCCCGGACCAGATTGGAGATGTAACCTCTCCAACGTGTCCTGGGTCGACCCGGGGACCTCCTGCCGGCAGGACATGCCCGAAACACCTCCCCGGGGAGGTGTCCAGGAGACATCCTGACCAGATGCCCAAACCATCTCAACTGGCTCCTTTCGATCCGGAGGAGCAGCGGTTCTACTCCAAGTCCCTCCCGAATGTCCGAGCTCCTCACCCTATCTCTAAGGCTGAGCCCGGCCACCCTACGGAGGAAACTCATTTCGGCCGCTTGTATCCGCGATCTCGTTCTTTCGGTCATTACCCAAAGCTCATGACCATAGGTGAGGATTGGGACGTAGATCGACCGGTAAATCGAGAGCCTGGCTTTCTGGCTCAGCTCCCTCTTCCCCACGACAGATCGGCTCAGCGTCCGCATCACTGCAGACGCCGAACCAATCCGCCTGTCGATCTCCCGATCCCTCCTACCATCACTCGTGAACAAGACCCCGAGATACTTAAACTCCTCCACTTGAGGTAGGACCTCTGCCCCGACCCGGAGTTGGCAAGCCGCCCTTTTCCGGTCGAGAACCATGGTCTCAGATTTGGAGGTGCTGATCCTCATCCCAGCCACTTCACACTCGGCCGCGAACCTACCCAGCAAGAGCTGAAGGTCAGAGCTGTTGACTCCTGGAAACAGTGGAACCTGATCTGCCTCTCTCAGCTGTCTGTAGAGGATTCTGAAGACGTCTGGATATTCGTGGTGTTGGTGTCAGGTTTCGTGCTGTTTAGCCTCAGCGGTTACCTGGCTTACCGGAAAATTAATGAGCTGTCGAGGAATATTGGCTCAATCCCGGAGCTCAGGGATGGATTACACCACGCTGTGAATGCACAAACTCATATAATTGTCGAGATGAGTCGTAAGCTTGGAACTGTGGCTGAGATTCAGACTCTGGCACAGAAGGTTGATGCCATCAAGGAGATAGTTGAAGGATCAGCAGGGATTGGGATAGATGAATTACGCCATTATTGGATTCAGAGGGGTTGGAGACCAACAGAACTTTAAGACAGAGAGGAAATTATCTCTGTCTGTCCCCAAAACAAGTTCTTATCTGAATCTGGTGCCCTTGAGCCTGTGAGACTAAAGTGATTACTCCCGCTCAGAAGAAATGTGGAATGCTGCCGTCGCCATGGTAACTCTGTCACCCTATCCCAGCCTGGGCAGGACTGCGACCGGTGAAGGCCGTTGAATCGTTTCCAGGAGTCACTGTGCTCTCTAACCCAGTTACCTCCCTCCCCTGTCCAAACAGAGGTGACGAGTGCTGCTTATCGAGGGTGCATGCACTGATATGAGGAGAGTCCCAAACCCTACCTCCCCACCTAGTGGACACTTATGTTGTGTAATGTCTGAAGTCTGTTGCATTTCTGTCTGAGGTGTTTTTTTGCAGAGCAAAGCTGCCCTCCCTGTGGAGGGTAACTCTGAAGTGCCTTTTTTCCTCCACCTGACTCAATCCTCATATAAACCCTCTGATCTCTATTAAGGTAGCGTGACCACAGTCACCAATTCTTGTCATGTGTTTATGC